TTCATAAGATTTGTTACAGCGTATGCAGCAACCCACTCCCCAAATGAGCTGTTTTTGGCTTTTACCCTTTGTCAGACTTGTTGTTCTAATATTTTATCAGCCTTATGACGATTTATTAAATCTTTATTTTTTAAATATGATATATCATGATTACGACAGGCTTCACCAAGAAGGTTTTTAGGCTTATCTCCTCTAACAAGTCTTTTCTCAAGTTTTGTACCAGGTCCACAGTATTTATACGTTGGAATATGCGCTTCGAAAGGTAGTTTATTTATTAGCGTATTCACGAAACCTGTACCACTCAACTTTTTTTTTTCATCGAACTCTTTGCATTTCATATACATACTGAGGAGCGTCTAAGATTGTGCTTACTATTTATACACAAAGATGCGTTTTATTGAACAAGACAACAAATTAGATATTAAGAATATTGACACACAAATTTTGGAAAAACCATCCAGACATGGGCCTTTGTTACCCGATAGTATTCGAGGGATCCTAGTTGGGGCAAGTTCTTCGGGAAAAACTAATGTTATGATTAATCTTCTTACACATATAAACGGTCTAAAATTTGAAAATGTTTACATATATTCAAAAACTCTAAATCAAGAAAAATATGTTTTACTAAAACAAATATTTGATGGTATAAAAGAAGCTAATTTGTATACATTTACTGTTGCTAATGATGTTATTAAACCACAATTAACTAAGCCAAATTCTATTTTTATATTTGACGATATTATATGTGATATACAAACACCTATTCGAGAATATTTCAGTATGGGAAGACATTTCGGAGCTAACTCTATATTCTTTTTAAATCAATCATACTCCAAAATGTTGAAGCAGCAGGTGCGTGATAACTGTAATTTCTTAATTATATTTAAACAAGACGATCGAAATTTAGGACACATTTTTCATGATCACTGTTCAACAGATTTTTTGGATTTTTCAGCATTCCGGAAATTGTGCTATTCGTGTTGGAATCATGATAATTATGGATTTATTGTTATAGATAAAACTAGAAATATGAATGATGGACGGTATAGACGAGGTTTTGATGTCTATATAAGCTTAGATATAGCCAAGTAATCTCAGTTTAGCAGTATGGAGCGAGAAGAAAACTTATTAAAGAACTTAATAGAATCAAGAAACAACATCAAACTTAAAATTATGGAGTTAAAACGTGGAGTTTTAGACTCTGAGCATACATTTAATGAAACATTTAAACCAATAATAGAACCACTTAATAGAATAGTTAATAATAGTGACGCTAATAAAGGCAGTCGTATGTTAGATAATGAAATGTCTAATTTAGAAAATCGTCAACACGATGTAGTAGCTACTTCAAACAGTCAATTAGAGGAATTTAATAACTTTGTATCAATTTCCCCGAATAAACGAACTTATGATCAATCATATGGTATGCATTATGATAAAGCCGACAAAGAACTGAAAATTGGGTCTTATCCTATATCAATTGAGAATGATAAATTAAGAGTGGTAGACCAAGTTTATGATTGGACTCCTGGATTATGGTCATTACTATGTGAAAAAGAACCAAGATTAGTAAACAATGAAGACTTAAAATCTTACTACGCAATATTAAACACTACGAAAGTGTATCTAAATGCTAAAGGAAACCCTAAAGCTAATAAATATTATAAATGGAACTCAATCGTAAAACCTTTTTATACTGATGTAAAGTCTAAATCAGATCCAATAGCTAAAAAACGAAAAATTGGTGAAGATTTAATTATCACTCCTAAGTCGGCGGATGCTATTTTATTAAATAACCCATTCGATTTTCAAAAGGGGAAAAAAGCTGAAAATTTGAATTCTAAATTAGGTATGGGTTTATATAAAAACGTACTACCCAATACACAAATCATTTACTACGATAACCCGAACGAGTTAATTACTAGACTAGCTCTACTAATGTCTTCTCAAGAGGCTAGAAACACAGGTCTTAACAATGAAGTTATTTCAATTGTTGAAGAATTAAGAGAAAAAAAAATTATTGTATAGCTTAGTCTCTATATTAGTCATCACTACCTACATCAGTTTTCTTACCCACTTTTATATATAATTTCATATTATCAACTATGATGTCCGCAATGGAGGGTATAGCCAACGAATTACATAGACCAGCTAGAAAAATATTTCAAAGACGTTAAGTTATTACAAGATTTATGGATGAATATTGGCAAACAGATTTGATTGATATGCAACCACATTCGAGAAAAAATAATGGTTTTAAATATATTTTAGTTGTAATTGACACATTTAGTAAATACGTGTGGGCAGAACCTTTAAAAAATAAGACAGCAATATCTGTAAAGAATGCAATGTCAAAAATATTGAAAAACAAGCAGCCTAAGTTATTACAATCCGATTTTGGTGGTGAATACTATAATAATGAATTAAAAAAATTAATGATGAAATATAGCATTAAACATTATTCAACATATAGTAGTATTAAGGCCGGACAGGCTGAACGCGTAATACGGACTTTAAAAAATATGGTTTATAAGCATTTCACAGCTAAGGGGAGTTGGAACTGGGTAGCAGTCTTATCGAATTTAGTTAATAACTATAATAATAGTAAGCATAGGACAATTAATTGTACTCCGCATGAAGCTAGAATAAATCCAGTTTTAATTAAACGTAATAATTTATTTAGTGACAGTAAAAAAAGAAAACCGAAATTTCAGTTAAATGATAGGGTTAGGATATCTAAGTATAAACATTTATTTTATCGGGGTTTTACACCGAGTTGGACGACGGAATTGTTTACTATTACCAAAATTCTAGATACTAATCCTATTACTTATAAATTGTCTGATGATAAAGGTGAGACAATTTTAGGATGTTTTTATGAACAAGAAATTCAAAAAACTAAGTATCCTGATACATATCTAAAGCTGGTCACACACGGAGCGGTTTAGCCGCGCGCGGTCGCGGATAAAAACCGCGGCGGTTTGCCGCCGTTAATTGAACAGCCGTGTTTCAATGGGTTTATTCACACAGTTAAACCCGCACCGCTGATAGCAGCGGTCAACCGCTAAAATTGTCCCTTGCGCGAATTTCGGCTCGACGACCGCGTCCGCTCATCATAATTAAACTGCATATTTTCAATAGACGTATTTATACAGAGCGATTTGTGAGCGGATCCTAGATTATCATATTATAATTGATATTATATTTATTATTTATACGCCTATGCCTCAAAAACCGCAGGGGCAGTAGGTGCAATGCCCCGGTAAAGGGGCCTCTTGGAGTTGGGATAGGGGCCCCGCCTCCATCTGGGTCATTGCATTATATTCTCACATTTAAATCAAATAAGTATTGTATTAAAATTATTGAATTCATTTATTTTTATAATGTTATCCTATTATATAATACATAAAATATTATATTAATAATAATAATAATAATAATAATTTCGAGTAGACTTATTGACCGGGATTATAGTTAACTTAGCCAAGTTAGCTATATTATATTAAGCAATAATATTTGTATTATATAATATTATTTAGTGTTCATCGAGTTATTTTTATGTACGTGAATTCCCCGATATAATCTTTGCAATCGCCGCGTCGACCGTGGGCCGCGGCCCGTGCCTGATTATTTTTAAGTTATACCACGGTGTCGTGCGACGGTGTCATATTGACTTGATGAAAACATTTTTATTTCTATGTAACTAAATTTTAATATAATATTAATATTCATTTACTTTAAATATTACTTTAAATAATCATTTACTTTAATTAATTATGTCGTTTGACACCGAAAAGTTTGTTATATGTGTTCAACAAAATGAGTGCATTTGGAATAAACGTAAGTAATTTATTTTATCCAAGCAAACCTGGGCAAAAATGATTTAAATAATGCCCAGGCCTAAGTAATTATAATAAATAAATAAAATGTATTTAATCAGTTTTTCTCGAACTCAAAAATAGAATACTATACCATTAAACATGTTTGTTTAGAAGACAAAAGTCACCATGACACGCAAAAAATTCATGTTGGATGGACTAATGTAGCTAAATCGATGATCGATAACTTTGATAATTTAGAAGAACACACAAAACGTGAAAAAGGTAAGATATTATGTAATATATTTTATTAAAATAAAAAAAAATTAAATAATCGTTAATTATAAATACTTATTCATATTAAAAAATGAATTGGCTTACCTGATACAATTAAATTTAAATTCAAATAAAAATTTAGAAAATTATAAAACTGTCTACAGCATTTAAAATTATATTTTTTTATGGTTAAATTAGTGAAAGACCTTAAAAATAAGTGGAAAAATGTAAAGGATACCTACAGAAAAAAATCAATTAAGAAATCTGGCCAAGCTGCCAAGACTGAAAAAAATATATATACGCTGATATTTTGGAGTTTTTAAGACCGACAATGGAAAATAGAAAGTAATTAAATATTAATATAAATACAGTAGAAATATTTAATATAAAATTGTAATATCTTATGCTAATTTTTGTAGGACCGATAGTAACGTCGCTGGCAGTGATGATACAGAAAACGGAAGTGACGAGGACATCGACGTACAAAACACATCAAACATCGACCAAGTAACGGCATCATCATCTCAACAACCAAAAAAAAAAAAGAAAAAAGACACAAAACTTTGAAGAAACGTTAATTGCCGCTTTGGGAAGTCGACAAGCCCGGGAAGATCCCGTCAGCTCATTTTTGATGTCATTGGCTCCACAGATAAGAGGTCTTGAACAAGTTCAACAGAACCAAGTATTTATAGAATTTTTAACAGTCCTACAAAATATAAAATATTCTAATTTACCTAAACAGTCAAACAATCCAGACTTATATCATCGATCCCAAACCAATATTTCGAATTCTAGTCTCCCACCTCAAAATTATTCTAACGTCAATTATTCTTATCCTGTTTATCCTTACAATAATTTTTCATCGACTCCTCCTTCTTCTTCTGGACTTCCATTAATACCAAATCCTCACCTTTCTCCAACAATTTCTTCTTCGCCGCTACCTCCCCATCTTTCTGCCTCCGAATACCCTAGCAACTCTCCTAACAATACACAGTATCAAAACCGTCCTTTGTGATTTATTGTATTCAATTTTTAAAATTTTTTAAAATTTATTATTTATGTCGATCTCATGTTTTTTTAATAATTATAACATATGTATATATATATATACTAAGTAATTTTATTAACATTCAATTTTTAACTTTATTTAATATCTTTGTAAATTGTAATATATTATTACATATAATATTATTATTTATAAGATAGTAAAAGGTCTATAACTTATTTTAATAATTATAACATATGTATATATATATATATATATATATACCAAGTAATTTTATTAACATTCAATTTTTAACTTTATTTAATATCTTTGTAAATTGTAATATATTAACTCACTACCTTTTATTATTTTTAAAAATAATTTTACCAAAAAAGTAAGCAGCGTTATTCATATTTTTATTAAATAATTATTATTACACTTTTAGATAGAATAGTATAAACAATTATTATACTTACCCAATAATTTATTTGCCAATTATTTTACTTTGCCAGCTAAGGGCGTGACTTGAGTGGTTGACATATTTCACAAAGTACTCCCTGACGTCCTTCGCATTTGTTTGTGAATTTTCAACTCCTCTTTTTTCAGCTATGCTATCCATAGAACAATCCAGGCTGTCTTTAAAGTTATAACCATCACGGCGTCTCACAAAATTGTGTAAAACACAGCAGGCTTTGGTAATAATAACCGCAAAATTTGGCTCCACTAACATGCTAGTTTGAAAAACTCTCCATTTCTTAGACAGAATCCCAAATGAACACTCTATGTACTGACGGGCCCTGAACAATCGATAATTAAAAATGCGTCGTTCGTCATTTAATGTTCTGCCGGGAAACGGTCGCAATAAATTTTTATTAAGAGCAAAAGCCTCATCAGCCACGAGTACAAACGGTTGTGGTACGCCTTGATTATCCCCAGGTAGACATTGTTCTGGAGGAAAATTTACCTTGTCTGCATACAACTTTTTACCGAACGCTGATATTTTAAAAACATTACAGTCACTCTCTTTACCGTACGATCCCACATTAATGATACGAAAGCAATAATTTGAGTCGCAAATAGCCATAAGTATCAGTGAGAAAAAGTTCTTGTAGTTGTAGTACAGCGATCCACTATTCCTGGGACATTCTATTCGTATGTGTTTTCCATCAACCTGTATTCATTAATACAGGTAAGTAAATACTTTCAAATTGGCAGAAGGTTACAATTACTGATAATATTAGTCATAATACTCTTAAAGTAGTTTTAAATGATGGTTCTGAATGGATAAGGTACAATGATCAGATATGGCCACACGGCCTAAAAGAAAATGAGTTATCTCCTGCTGCTAATTATTCAGACACGCCTAGTTTTGACCAAACAAACTCCGATTCCTTTGAAACTACTGTACCAATAAATACCACAACACAAAAATCCCCTAGACCCGTTAGGATTAAAAAACCCATTCAGCGTTTTTCTCCTTGTGATTATAAATAATTATGTTACTGTATTATTTTTGCATGAAATATTGTTATTGTAATTTGATATTGTTTTTTTAATCATTTGTATTATCTATCTATATGATATTAAAAATGTAATTATGGTTAAGTATATTATTTTTGATTTTATTGTAAATTTAAAAAAAAAGGAAAGAGGTGTTACATATCAGCAGTTTATATAAATACATATGGTGGGAATTGTCTACCATACGCGAGTGCTACACCGGCATAACTTGTCATTCGTGTAATTTTGGTTTCATAATAAACATCAGCGAATATTATTATTTATATTAATCTAATTGTGTTTTACTTTCATACTAAGGTATAACAAATCAATGAGCAAATCAATTTAAAATATTGAAAATCATTTTTTTTTGTTTGCTAGATTAATATTTTATAACACATGTTTAATCTATATAAATAATATGGAAAAAAAAGGTTTGAATAATAGCAATAATAATAAAATTCGATTATTATAATTGGAATAAAATTGTACAGGATTAATATACTTACCGCTCCGACTGTATTTGGAAACTGGGTTTTTTCAAAATAGCCTTCAGCTATATCTAGCCAATCATGAGTTGTGGGCTCTGACATCTCAATTGGCTGCAAAATTGTCCATAATACTTTGCAAGTTTCCCGCACTATTTTTGTTATGGTCGACACACCCATTAGAAACTCATAATGTAATGCTGAGAAATGCGTTCCAGTTGCCAAATACCTAAATAGTATAGTATAGAAAAAAATTATATTTTATTCATTACATTCAGATTTATAATAACAATACAACTTATAAAGTCTTATTGTTTTCAAATTTTAGTAACAAACGTAATCAATTTAATATTATAAAACTATGAATTATATGTATTATAAAACTATGAATATACCTTATTGTGACAGTCAACCTTTCCTCTGGTGAAATTGGGATACGCATATTTGTATATTGTTTTTGGATGTGCTGTCCGGCGAGTAAAACCTAATGATATAAATTATTACCTTAATTATTATTTATTAAGGATATTCTACATTTTTATAATTAATGAACTTACCAGTTCATCGAAAGATTGAATGCTCATTCTGTAGTAGTCGAAAAATTTGTCTGGGTGCGCTCGCAAGGTCATAAAAGTAATATTGAATTGGCCTTCCTGGGGCCTTTTTACATTTAATGGATGCACCCAATATTGCCTTTTAGTTTTATTTTGTTTTTTATGTCTTTTATTTAGTAAATATGCAATACATACTGCTTCGACATCATTTAATGCAATGTCCATGTTTTTTGTTTTATAAAAAAAACTGTTTACACTGAAAAAATATATAAACCGAACACTTGTTGTCTCAAACACGTTGATAGCTCAACTGTTTGTATACACCTCTGTTACAAATTAGCGCGAACACTAAATTGGCGCGAAATATTTTATAAATTATAAAAACCGCCTTAATAAACCGCGTTTGATCCGCTCCGTGTGTAAGTACATAGCGGTTGCGGTCGCGGATAAAAAACCGCGACCGCGCGCGGCTAAACCGCTCCGTGTGTGACCAGCTTAAGTCTAGCTGTCTGTCAGATCAGACACGTTCTACTACTAATAAAGCGAGTGTTACTTGCTTAAAGTACTTTTTAATTTATAAAATGTGAATGTGGAAAATCAAGTATCTGGTGTTGCTTACTTCACAGGCTTAGTAAGCAATGGTTTAAAAGAGAAAAAATGTTTAGAGGTCAGTCGGCTAAATGTGTGGTATGGTGTTCCTATGCGAAACACAACTTGTTAAAGTGTAGTACCTATACTATATTATATGTCTAGACATTGATCAAATTAGAATCGTAATCTGTTGAGAAATCATATCTATGCCAGTATTGTCCGTTTAGAATTAGAATTTAATCATCGAAGGTACACGCGGTTTGCTGGTTTATCAGAAGTCCAAAATTTTAGAAAAAATATATGTTTGTGTGTCCTGTGAACTCAAGAGTAAAAAACAAATGAAATGTCCCTAAATTATTTTTTTAACAGGTTTCAAAAAAGTTAGATGGCAATTAAGGTATAATAGAATGAATAGCAAACATTATAAGTTAATCTAACCACCAAAGTGTAATATTCGAATTACAGTACAAAAAATATTGAAAATACAGCTTGAAAGATTTCATCAACAATCATACAATTATTTTAAAATTGACAGTTAAAAATGTAAATTAATTATTAGTTTTATAATTTTCCAAATGAGTCTGTAACATCATTAGAGTGATCTTGCATCCAATTTGACATTTTTATCATTTTCGGCAGGCATGGAAATCAACGGACACTGTAAAAGTTAAATGTATGCGTATGTAGTTAGTATATGTTGTTTATTTATGTATAAGAATGTAATTCACATACCAAAAGTGGTCGTATCTAACGGGCGAAATATTTTGCTTGTATCGTATCACCGCTAAACAGTCTTCTCAAATTGGTGAATCCAACGCAGAAAAATCAAGTGGTAACATTAGAAAGCAAACTATTAGTCAATCAACATAAAAATGAATAGCTACTGAAACAAAAATTATGATAAATTAATAATCTGAATCGAATAGTTTACACCGTTGAAATCAAAGTGATATTAATTGATCGATATTAGTTACGAATGTTGACAATGACACATCGCATCCAGAAAGAACCACGTGGATGTTTCGATCATTCTTTCCACACCGTCCGACCGTTGTTTTGGCAAAGCCACTACAACTATCGAACCCGCCGACCGGTTTCCCATAGGAACACCTATCGCAGGTGGTTTTTTTTAAGAAAACACCACCTCACCGAGTACTTACATAGAATGCAAATACTCGGCCCGCCTCGTACAACAGGCGTAAAAAAGGGACTTTTACTACTATTACTATTATAGTACTTCTCTATAAACAACGTTTTTTGTAGTGTACTTACCATCAGTTCCAGCTCTAAGCCGAACTTTAACCGAATCTGAGTTACGAACCCTTGAAAAGGCAACATATAGTTGACCGTGAGTGAAAACTGGAGACGCTAGTAAAAGCCCAACTCGGTCAAAAGTTTGTCCTTGCGATTTGTTTATAGTCATCGCAAATGACAATCGTACAGGGAACTGAACTCCTCGTCGCAGTCTAAACGGTAGGTCGCCGTCCTCACTGGTCATAAGTGGTATGGCAGGAATGACTACTTCCTCTTGTCGACCCGACAATAGTTTAGCCTTGAAGTTGTACCTGCGCAATTGGATAATAACCATTCTGGTGCCATTGCACAGTCGTCTCTTTGAGTCCAAGTTGCGAAGTAATATGACAATGGGGCCGACTTTTAACGTAAGTCTGTACGATGGCATTCCATCAGGTTCAAGCGTGTTTAAGAACTCAACAGGATAATTCGCCACCTCGTCGGGATCATCGGCTACCACCGTATCCACAGCATTGTACAATCCAGCTTGTCCCACGACTCGTTGCGTGACTATAGTTTGATTGATACGTCGGCAGTCGTCGTTCCTCGGACACAGTATGATTCTCCGAGCGCATTCTTCAATGTTCTCCAAAGAAATTTGCGGTGGATAGACGAAGTCGATCACAGGTGTGGCACATACCATCCGAGGAGGAATTTCAACACAGTCAGGTATTTCGCCAACGGAAGGGAGATCTCCGTTGCCTAACTGTACTAACCAGTCGGCAAACGCAGTGTCTCCCCCCGCACGCATGTTACGCGCGTCAAGCGAAACTGTTGCATAAACGGCCACAACGCATTATGCTTGATTGTAGACTTCACAACATCACTCCGCGTGCCTCTGCGGACGACAGGTAATATTTGTCTGAAGTCGCCGGCAAATAAGAATGGTTTCCCGCCGAATGGCAACTGCGAGTCCATGACGTCTCTGAGTAAGCGATCAACCACCGTAAGTTGCATTCCAGGGGACATGGGGGCCTCGTCCCAGACAATGAGCGCAGCTTCCCGTATTCTTTGAGCCCGCGTCGACTGCATGGTAATGGTGGACGTAGAATCGTTTGTCAAAACACCCATGGGCAGTCCAAACGTCGAATGCACCTACATTAAGTGTTTAAATTATTATATAATATATATCAACAATTATAGTATATCAGTTATTTAATTCAAGGTAAAAAAACATATACTGTCATTATGACCAATATATTATTTATATTTTATAAATAATTATAGCACATGAATTTAGATAAGTAATTTAGTTTATTTATAGTTGATATAATTATATAAGTATAGCTGATAAAAGGTTGAAATTTAGAATATAGTTATTATTATTATAAACGTTAGTTTTTAATGAAAACTGAAATATTAATTAACCTACCGTCATTCCACCTTCCATCAGCAATACCAGTGTAAGCCACCGATAGTACAGCTCTGCCTTGTCCACGAAGAGTGGATATAAGACAACCATATAAAGTGGTTTTGCCTGTGCCTCCAGGACCATCGACGTAAAAGAGTTTTGCGACAGGTCGCTCATCGTCCACGGCATCCATGACACGTTCATATACAATTCTTTGTTCATCATTGAGCTGTTCTAATTGTTCAGCCGCTCGCAGCGCTTCGCCAGCCTGATCAATTTGGTCGTCCTGTTATCGCAGTTCTAATAATTCAAGTCTCGGTAAAGGCAACCCGTAATCTTCCAGCGTTTTACCACGAACACGTAACAATTCGTTAATGTCGTCAAGTGAAGCCGCCCTTGCACGGTCGGGATCATTGAAGCGATGTACGAAGTCTTGCATTAAATGAACCTGTAATAATAAATAATTATTTTAAAGTATTATTATAATAATAAGATAAATAAACATATAATGGTTTATATATATATATATATATGCGGTTGGGCTTAAAAAAAAGCACCTCGATAGCTTCATATAATGCAAGCGGGTTGGCGGGTTCACAATTAAGAAGGATAGTTGCAAACAGGTACCGCTGCTGACTCGCTGTGTCTAAGCCTGAAAATTCATTCATGCAGGCTCGCCAGGCGTGATCGCCTTCCAACAGCCCTAACGCTACAGCTGCGTCAGCGTAAGAGTTGTATAGACGGCCATCGACCGTCCTCAAGTCTTGAAAGGATTGGGGTCCTCTTTGGTGTAACAACAACAGACGCATGTAAAATCGTTCACGGTCCATCGGGGTGACAATACACATTCGCGACAGTGTTGGATTGGCCAAGTTCCGTTGTCGGGCAGACCACACACGGTTCGTCTTCCACGTGTAATGTGTAGGTATCTCATGGTACAGATACTGCCGGGCGTTGTTGTCTATCTGGTTGAGCGTAAAGAACGCTGTCAGTTTCGTACGGTCAAGGTGTTGACGTTGTAGCTATTAGGCTGCTTGTCCGGGCGGAAAGACGACTCTATGGTGTCCTTCCATGTGTACAGGTAGCCTAACTACTGTGTGACTATGCCTTTGCATTTCGTACGATGCCAGCCTCCAATACGCCTCAGGTGGGCTTACGTAACGGGTATTTAAAAACCTTAAACAAAATATGATTTTGTGATGTGATATATAGTATATAGTATTACTAAATAAGCATATAGAAATGTGTAGAATATACGAACACCGTTATCTCGTCGGCATGTAATATCTGCAACGTGGCAGTGTCGTGTCCTTTATAAACATACTTAAACAAATATTGAACACTTTTCATAGTAGTGCATATTTCAACGTTCATATGAGCATTATACTTAGCAAGCAAGTACGGATTGTGAGGTACTACGTAATCACTACCGATCTCTGCGTTCCGAATGAAAATCGTCCTGCCATTGTCAGGTCGGCGATACAAAGGATAGCCGCCGCTGGCTCGGAACACAGTTTCCTTGCTGTAATCCTTAGGGTAACCCTTAGAACACGTACCGTTGACCATGCAAGGGCTTTGAGAGTTGAGAACTCCACACGGCCCATGTATCATGTGCGATTTCACCAGCTGAAACAAATAAGTGTCGACCACAGGGTCAGGTATTACAGCACTAACTACTTGGTCAATGTCTTCGGCTGTCCGAAATTTGTAATCTTCTTGCAGAATAACTAATATATGGGCATGAGGTAAACCTTGTTTCTAAAACTCAACAGTGTACACAAATGCATCGACATTACCAAATATTTTATTTACCGTGATGTCACTCATGAGCGCCTTTAATTTGGCATTAAATACCCTTGACACTAAATCCGTCGCTAAGTCCGTAGCTCCTCCCGAGCGGCGAATAGCGAGATTATCCTTGATTTCTGGCCAATTAGGATTACAGGTAGACGTTATGAACAAATCGGGCTTACCATACTTACGCACTACCGTCATGGCGTCGTGATAGCACTGTTTCATGTATCTAGGACACCCTGTGAAGGTAGACCGTAAAATTACTCTTTGGCCAACGTCAGCATTGTCCAAATTGTGTTGCTGGTTAATGTGATCCATCAAACCTTGATAGGTTTCTGCAAAAAGATCAGACTGATGCGTACGGATATAGTTCAGGTTATTGGCTTCCATCCGAATATACTGATCGCACACATATTGCTGCAACAAAAAACGTCCTGCATGAATTAAACTAAACTTATTGTGTCGTTGGTCGTTGTTTCCGTTGTATCGAACGGCCAAACGGTAACACGCAAAATCTCTGATGGTTATCCTCGTGCGGATGGCGTTCTGCCGTTGGCCTATTTGTCTTGTATTATAATTCCAGCCTCTTTCGCCGTAGGGGAAAAACAATGGGTAGACCATTGGATCGGCGTGCATCGAGTTATTGGGCAGAGTCCGCGACAGGTACCCACGAGGATTGTCATCCCTATCGTAGACTGCAAAATTAACTCTGTCTGGCGGTAGGTCATCATCTCCAACAAAGACGACTGCCACTTCATTTGCTGCCGGCGCGTTGTTTCGTCGTAAATCCATAGTGGAATCAGTGACAAATTGCATAGTCACAGCTCTAGGTTGTCGTAATGGGTCAGCTGCGGCTTCTCTACGCTCATTTTGCCACACTTCTCTCATGTTACTGCAACATTTACGGTTTATATATAAAATACATACATATATATATATATTAGTATAATTTATAATAATTACACTGAATGATTCACCTAAATTTCAGAAATAGTTCCTGGTTTTTTTTTTTTTTTTGTAAATAATGTTATGTTGCTCTGGTTTTTTTTACAATAAAGATCAATTTTATAAATTTCCCAAAATTAACCTGTTTTATATTTTCCACAAATATCATTATCATTATATAAAATATTAAATATCATTATATATATTGTATATACCAAAAAATGAATACATTTTTATTAGTGTTTAAAAAAACATATATTTATATGTATGTATAATATAAATGTATCTTACCGGAAAGCTTGAGCATATGGATTTATGTTCCGTAACAACGCATCTAAATCATGAATGATACTCGGCAAAAGTGGCTTTTGCTGATGTCGCGATTCAACGCGCACTCGGTTTGCCGTTTCCGAGTCGACGAAATACATCTAACAATAGCGAGATGCACTACCATCAGCTGGAATAACGTGATTGTACTGATGATACATTTGGCCAAACACTGTAAAAACCCTTGGCCCTGGACCAACCAGCTGTTGACGTTGATGGGGGTTTGCATTGTGGGCTTGGGCGCTGACGGTAAACGAAGCGAATGCCGACACATTATTATATTGACGGATTTCTCCTCTGAAGTGACGACCCTTAGCACTGTCATCTATTAGTAAAGCCATCAACGATCCCGGTGGCTGTCGCAGTGTACGGTCGTCGTCAAGAGCTACCACTCCGTTCCTGCAACACGTCGAAAAGTGACCAGCTCGCACTCTCTCAGGTAAAAAGTGTCGAGCTTGGCAGTGTTGACAAATGAAGTTCATGGCTCCGATGTTATGTGACGCGGGCAGTGGATTTTGAATTCCAACTTCTCGGTCCACCGGCGGTCTAAGCTCCACCTCATCCTAAAAATGAAATAATGGTATTTTTATAACAGAAAAAAGAAGCGAGAGAATGTCAAATTTAATACTTACCTCGACCGGAGCAGGTCGGCCGGCTACAACCGGCAAGACGTTGATAAGGTCCGCTAAGCCAACCACTTCTTCTTCAACTTCCTCCTCAGCGACTGGCGCTACCACTCCAACCTTTATTAAGGACATCATTTTTATATATAGTTGGTTGGGAGATTAAATTTTAAAATACATTTTAAAAAAGACATTTAATAATGTGCAGGTGAGGTTGGGAGAGGCACAACATGTAATAATACTTCCATGGTAATAATTGTATATATATATAATTGTAATAATGCGGTAGGTAGATAAAAAAGTTAAGTACTCAAAGTTGTTATCAAAATACTAAGTTGGGAAGAAAGGAAATACAACATTTTTTTTGAAAAAATTGAGATCACATTTTATAAAAACAATATTGGAAAAATGTAAAATTCATGTTAAATCCTATGAGATATTGAGTGGCCCATGATAAATGAATCACCTTGTATACTTAAGTAACAAACATTTAAATGTAATAGAAGAATTTGTATAATATAATGCTCCATGACTCACTCATAAACTAAAAAACTTTCAACTCAAAAAAATAATAATTGACTTGGTTAATAATGAAATCCAATAATCCAATAATACTTTCATAGCTGTGTTATGAATACACTGTGTTATAATATGAAATATTATATTAATTTTAAATAATATAAAATTGATACCCTTTGCTATCTAATTGTTATGTTAAAAAAAATCTACATCTAACTTAATATTTAGTTGGCCCACCAGTAAACGCTATATGTCACTATAAGAGTTTAAAATAGTGAACCCTGATGTTATATTTACTGCTGCATCAAAAGTAAATTTTAGAATTTTTAATAGTTGGATGCCGGGTTGCATAAAAAACTACTTATCCAAAGGTCACTAAATAAACGTTCATGTAAGTTTTAAAATGGGCTATTATTTTTAATAATAATTTATTGGATATCTTAAGTATTAATAATATATTAATCAATAACAATATATACGTTGATCACCTCCAAATAAAAGGTACAAAAAAATTAACCTAACCGCAAAACATTAATAAAAAAAAAATAATTTAGAAAAATTGATATAATGCCAATAAAAGTCAGTGATCATCTTTAATGTAAATGATTGGAGAAATATTTGAGTGTCTACTAAAAAAAGTAAAAGAATACTGGCTTACCAGTTTTGCCTGAATACATATTGAATTACCAGATAATACCGATATTACCTAATAACGCAGCCTATATGCTCTGTCACCACCGTGCTAACGTTTAGTGATACTTAGTGACTTATTAACTAATAAATATTCATGATTATGTATACTTATGACGTACTATTGAAGGCACAACTGCATTAGTAAGGCGACGCCGGTGCACTGCTCTTGTGTAATCTTCTGGAATGAAATGCCTCAAACAGAGGACTGAACTCCGTAAAACGTCGCGGAGATTTATGCCGTTAGCTTCCACAAAGTCTAACCATCGCTGTCTGCGTCCTCCAGCATTATTTTCGGGAAACCTATGTTAGAGAACACATAAATGAAACACGTGTTACATGATATACAAAGAATATATTTACTTGTGTAATGCGACTCCATCAGCCCGCGTAGCTGCACACAATAAACAACTCTCGACCATAACGTCAAAAAATAAGTTAAATAAAAAAGTTTAGTAACAAATAAGTGTAAATAAAATAAGTGTTAAGAAAAACTTTAAGTGCGACGGGAAAAGATCGCTTGCAGGTTATAACATTAAAACATTTACACGATGTAGTACCAGCTAGTAAAGTGACCGATAATGCCCGTCTCTCTCCCTCCTACACCGGTCAATGAGAGACAAGCGACACGGCAGATTTACACAGCGGTTATGGTATACACTGACCAGATGTTAAAAAAAAAAAACCTAAACGCGCTGAATTTCAAAATTAAAATAAAAAATGTTTAAAAAACTGTATTTTGCAAAACATAAGTACTTAAAGCGTGCAAGTACGCGTGTATGTAAGTAAGTGTATGATTGAAGAGTCTAAGACAGCCGTTGTATTTGTTATAATAAAAAATATCAATATGTAGATAAATTTCACATAATTGTCCGTCTATTTTACCAAACCAGTTACCGGTAAACGATTGTGATCACATAGATAAAACATAATGAATGTGTCAAAACAGAAAATTGCAAAATATAAAAACTCCAAAATAGCGTGCAAGTACGTCTGCATGTAAGCATATGTATGGTTGGAGAGACGAAAACGGTCATTGTAGGCACTGTACTTGTAAGGGTGCTATGGTATATATTAATATTATTGTTGTACATATATTTTATGGATATGTTATGGAACTTATGAGCCATAATTTTGAAGGCAGCAATCTTTAGATAAGACGTAGATAAATCATAAATCGTGTAAAAATTGCCCGTCTCTTTTCGCCAAACCGGTGTTCAATTGTGCAATGCAATCTGGGGAAATATTAAATATTCCAAAATCATATTATGCTAACAGACGAAAATAATTTTTGACGGTGGTGTCTTTTTCCTCCCGTTGAAGCCCGCGGAAACAACGTAAGTACCAGCCACATATTCTCCGTTATAAATATGCACGTGAGATTTCTTATGATATTTTACTCGAAAATGAGTTAACTAAAAACTTACTAAATTAACTAAAAATATGTTAATTTTTTAATTTATATTGCATTTGAATTTGTTTTCTTAGTGAAATATGAAACCAACAAAAGTGGTGAACATTTTTAAAAAGGTAGGGACCTAATGGTCCCCTACAATTTAGTGCCCGGCGTGGGGGCAAACGTAAGTAGTATTTTAATAAAAAGCTATAATAATGTAATACTAATGTTTAACAACGTATATTTCGGATATACATATGGGGCATCATGAGTCAAACCACGCGGTCATCGGCCTGACCTCCTCAAATTTTTTTTTAATCTTCTTTTGGTCTAATGTAAGATATGTTAATTTTCAACAAAAAAAATGGATTTTGACCAGTTTTAAATTTCTGAATTTTTATCATAAAATCAGAGACTTACTCAGAGACTCACGGATGGGTGGTCATCCGAAAAAATTTTCATTATAAAAAAAAAAACAGAAATAAATCTCGGCCCACTCCCGTTATTAGACGAAAAGATTTGATATAAGACTGTAAAATTTCAGAAATGGTCATCGGTCCGCCCTCCTCAAATATATATTTTTTTTTGAAATCATTACCGCTCAATATATACCGATAAAATAGAGGATTTTTAAATACATGTATTGTAATTAAAAAATTATTTGTTTTCCAAGTAACATCGGTATCATCTAATTACACGAAAGGTGGTCGGTGTGGGCTGATTATATAATATATAATATATATACTATCGAATTTTTTGTTCCAGGTTGCTGGGTGTGTCGCAGGACAGGCCACCTGGCCCGTTTTTGTAGTAAGTACCGAACGTGCATGGTGCATACTATATGCTGTTGTAATACTATACATAAATATAGTATCAGAGTGCGAGTAGTAGTAGATGATAATCAAGTAGTCAACACAAATAGAGTTATTACAATAATAGATATATTATACATAGAATATATACAACACAGTGAAACAATAATACACTAGTAATATGTATAAACTGAATAGAAATACTGAGCCCCGAGCCCTTAGATCAAATGCTATTTATATTAACCCACAAGGTTGCACGCGTCTACACATACACGTGTGCTTACAAAAACAACTTTGTTTTTCTATAACATTTCCTGGTTAACAACTACGTATTTTTATTATACAGATAAACAACATATTTATATATTGTGAAATACTTCTTGATATATAGAATATTAATTATTATTCCAACACACCCCCTTAATTAATATTTTCTTAACACTATATTAATCTTCTGTGATCCTCTTCACGCCTATGATTGACCGTGACTTTTCAAGTCTGTCCTTGGCTAATGGCTTCGTGAAGATGTCAGCTAGTTGGTTTTCTGTTTCTTTGTACTGCAGTTCAAATACACCTTCTTCAAACTTCTCCCGAATGAAATGATAACGAACATCAATATGTTTTGACCTCTTGTGAAAAACTGCATTCCTAATCAAACGAATAGTACTTTGATTATCTATATACAAAATAGGTTTATACAATCCCTTTTCATTAGTTAATTCAGTTAACAATCTTTTAAACCAAATTAAACTTCTTATCGATTCGCAGCTAGCGACGAACTCAGCTTCAGTTGAACTCAGAGTAACTGATGCTTGACGTTGTGAATTCCACCCTATTGTACAAGGTCCCGCAACAAATAAATGTCCCGAAGTAGATCTTCGTGTTTGAATGTCGCCGGCATAATCCGAATCGCTGTAGACACTCAACAAAAAATTATCATCTGATTTATAACACAAGCCATAATCTAAAGTATGTTTAACATAACGCATTATACGCTTGACCATTTGCCAGTGTGCATTTGTAGGTTTTGCAAGAAAACGACTTGCATAATTAACTGCAAACGCTAAATCCGGTCTTGTTACTTGTGACAGAAATAACAGTGACCCTACTGCTTGTCTATAAAAGTTATTACCTGGCTGTAATACCTGCGTATCTGTGTTATCGAAT